GTCAATGGCTACTTTGTGAAGAGAACGGCAAAAATGGACGACACAGTCAGGTATCTTGCTCGCATGACAGCGATGCTGAAGCGGACATGCGAGAGCAAACCACTCAACGTCATTCCTACCAAAATCCTTACATCTCAGAACTATCTTCCTCTGCTGAAGCATCTGAGAGAATCTATATCTCCAGACTGGTATATCACTTATCCCGCCTTTTCGTCACTTGCATCCAAGTCGGAGTCTATAACCCTGCGAGACGTATTTTTGAAAATGCTTATGACCACCAAGGGCGTCACGGGAGAAAGAGCGCTCGAAATTCAGAAGCGTTGGAAAACTCCGTATGATTTTGTCAAGGCATTTGAGGCTTGCGGAAGCGGCGAACAGGGACTGAAACGCAAACGCGAGCTGGTCTTTAGTCAGACAAGTCATCTTGTCGGACGAAAGAAGTTTACCAAGCCTTTGAGCACCAAAATTGCAGAAGTCTGGGGCGACGCATAATATTTGTGTACATGTGCGAGGAGACAAACGTGTACGGGCATTGGGAAAGGAGAGAGATTCTGTATAGTAAAAGACTGACGGTACCCACAGGATGGAAAAGGCAATTGTAGTTAAGTGCCAGTGGCATCAAGCCGGTAGGATCCATGAACATAGTGATACCCAGGATTATGAGAGGTACGAATAAACCTTTAATGATGAAAACTATTAAGCTCATGGCTTTCCGCCGAATCCCTGGGCCACGATTCTCTCGACGATCTTCTCAATGAAGGGAAACGAGGCAGCAGCTCCCGGTTCCGAGCCAACAACACCGCCCAGAGACTTCTCTGCATACTTGGCCATCATATCAACCTCAACATTGACAGTGTCACCCTTCTTCTTCTGCGCCACGACAACCCTCTCTTGGGTGTACGCAATCAGCATAACCTCCCACCATGCTTCATCATCGTTGACCTTGGTGACAGTCAGGCTTGTGCCATCGATGGCGATAAACCCCTTGTACACAATGTACCGCAGCATATCCTTACGGGCTGGTTGGAAACGAAAGGTCAAGGCATTGCCATCCTTCTCAACAGAGAGGATCTCCGCAGTGGTGTCAACGTGACCCTGAACAAAGTGGCCGCCCATGCGGGTATCAGCCCGAACAGCACGCTCAAGGTTGACGTTGCTGCCCTCCTTGAGATCGCCTAAATTGGTGATGCGTAGAGTCTCGGGGGCAACGCCAATGGTGAATGCCTCGGGGGTGAAGGATGTGACTGTAAGGCAAACGCCGTTGACAGAAATGGAGTCGCCGTCATGGCAGTCTGAGAGAAGTTTCGAGGCAGAAGGAATGGAAATGGTCAGAGAGGTGCCTCCTGTTGAGTCATTGGTGTTGAGGTTGGAGACAACTAGAAGCATGTGAGTGACTGAGTATCGAATATTGATTTGGATATAACGGACCTCCCACTTCTTCAACAATTCCGGTAAACATGATGAGATGTATGCTTTGATGCCTGGTTCAGTGATGCTGAAAAGGTAGGATTATTATATCGAAGTTATCGGATAGTCTGACTACAGGTAACAAGCAATGACAAATGCCTAATGAGTCGGATGGGTACTGATACTATTCTACTCTGCCCCGCGGCCCGCGAATGCCCCGCACTGGCTCTGAAGGAAATACCGGGACAGCTTTGGGTTCTGGTGCAATTACCGCACGAGTATATTGATCTCGTAAAGCTGTACTCGGTAGAGTGGTAAAGTAGTTCCTTAGAAGCCCGCTTGCCTAATCATCCGGCTCAATAAACCTGCCAATACGTCTACTAATGACGGTTCCTATCAATCTCCCATGTTACGACGTGGGGTGGCATTCTGTCCATCTTTGCCCCTCAGTCTTCAAAGGAGTGCCTGGCTTTGAAAAATGGGAAATATAGCAGTGCAAATCGTGAGACGCCAGAAGAGCCTGCTCTAGCTGGCTGGCACATGAAACGGAAATTGTATTTAGTTTGCCACCTTTGGTCAACTTTTGCCTGTAGAGGAAGAACAGGGAGGGAAAAGAATCGAAAACCAAGATTTACAACTGGCGACCCTCATGGATTGTTATCGATAAGGCCCGCCTAAATTTTTCAGTTTCCCACTCAACACCAAGACACAAGCTTCTTACAGAACAAGACTGTCCATTAGCTACACAATATCTCGTTTACAACTTTTTGCAGCAGTCGCCTTTTGATTGGATCTCACACCCTGATATCTCACCGTGGCTCACACATAGCTTTCTTTAATACTACCGCGTCATTACTTTTCCTAGAAACGTCGACACATCTCATATCAATACCACACCCCGCCTCAGAGCATTATGGCGCCCTCGAGACCCGACGCCAAAAAGACAAATCCGGACATCGCAAGGCTCCTTGTCGATGCGCAAACTCAACTCGAGGTCGGAAAAGTCGAAGAGGCTGCCACCCTTGCCCAGCAGGCTCTTGATGCTACCGGCCAGGGCGGCGACTTTGAGCTCAGTGCTGCCAATCTTCTAGGTACAATTTTTGTCGAGTCTGGCGACATTGACGAGGCACGAGCCGCGTTTGAGCGCGCAGTCTTCCTTGACGAAGACGGTACCGCAGATGAGAAGATTGGTGGAGGTCCTGATAAATTCCTGCTGCTTGCACAGCTTAGCGAGGAGGGCGGTCTCGATAGTGTGCAATGGTATGAGCGAGGTGCTACCGCTCTTCGAAAGCAGATCGCAGTTCTAAGCGAGCTTCGATCGCCAACCCCTGAGCAAAGAGCCGCCCTTCAAGAGAAGCAACACAAGCTCGGAGGAGTCCTGTGCGCTGTGGCTGAAGTATACATGACCGATCTGTCATGGGAACCTGATGCCGAGTCACGTTGTGAAACTCTTATCACTGAGGCTATGCTCCTCGCCCCTGCTGCGCCAGAGACATGGCAAACAGTCGCCAATGTTAGAATCTCACAGAACCGCGCCAACGAAGCCCAGACAGCTCTGCGCAGAAGTCTCGAGCTATGGCAGAAACTCCCACCTCAGCATCCTGACGTTCCCGAATTTCCCACCAGAATTGCGCTTGCTCGTTTGTTGATGGAGACCGAATTGGAAGATGAGGCATTGAGTGTGCTAGAGCGACTGGTTACAGATGACGACACAAGTGTTGAAGCATGGTACTTGGGTGGCTGGTGCCTATATATCACAGGCGAAAAGCTAAAGACTACTGCCACAAAGCCTTGGAACGACGAAGCCAGGGTCAGCGAGGAATGGAAGGGGTCATGGAAGTCATCGCGGCAATGGCTCATGCAGTGCTTGAAACTGTATCAACAGCAGGATTACGAAGATGAGCGCCTGGGTGAGCATGCCAAGGAATTGCTATCAGAGATCAACAAGGAACTTGGCCAGCCAGCTGATGGTGAGGAAGATGACTGGGAGGACGCCAGTGATGGCGCAGAGGAGGACGCTGAAATGCAAGGTTGATGACTTTTTGTAAGGACAGAGAAATTGGGCATGTGAGCATTACGTATGGCGTTTAGGAACAAAAAATGGGCATATCTAGAAGAAAACTTGTTGCCGCTAATTGTAGTTAAAACTGGATGACCCAGACCCAAGTCTATATCTTCATGGCAGTACTAGGCCTCCCAAGACCTATCGTAGCCATTCAATGCCATATAAATCCGTGGCAACACCCGTCGTCAACCCATAGTAAGCTGTTCGCCTTTTTGCATCAGTTCCCAAGCCCAAACTCCAAGTAATGCATGTTGGTTAAATGCCACCTCATGCGGCCTCAACTTTGAGTTTCTCGATACCCTCGACAGGCATGTCGTCCTCTTCCTCTTCACCCTTACCAGCAAGACCCCTCTCCCAGAGCTGTCTACCTGTCATGCGAGCAGGTTCCTTGGTCTTCGCCTTCTTCAGCTCAGCAAGACGCTCCTCTTCCTCCTGCTGCCTCTTCTCCTCCATCTCTTGCAAGAAACCCTCCCGCCACTTCAAAAATGTCTCGGGTGTAACAGCTGTGCCGTGAAATTTCTTGTTCTCCTCTGCCTCAGCGGCCAGCGCAGCTTCCTCATGTGCCTTGGTGATGATGTCCTTGCGCTCCTGGACAAGCTGCTCGGCATTATCCTTCAATGTTGAGACGATTGCAAAGACCATGGCCATTCCGAGGTTTTCTTGAATGGTATCGTCGAGACTGGCAAGGAGCTGGTCGCGGTCTTCTGCAATGTTGAAGTGTTCGTGGGACGTGGCATTTGGAGGAGCGAGGATATCGAGATGAGGCGGCTTTTCGGGATAATCTTCTGGATATCTGACTTGGAGAAGTATGGTAGGAGGATCTTGATCTTCTTCACCTGGAATGTCTAACGCGACTGATACTCTAAACTCGGTTTCAGAGATATCTACAGGAATGGTTAGGCAAAGAAGACAACATGTTTTTTCAGCAGCAGATTTGTACCTGTGATTTCATCGGGAAATATAGATTCGAGCACTTCGCGCTCTTCGATTTGGTCTTCTCGCCCCATTTTTACAGGTTGTCTTTGGGTGCCTTTATAAACCGTAAAATGTTACTTTTGATAGAGCCGAATGACGAGAGTGCTAAGAGTCCTCATAGGAGTGGGGGAGGTTTACAGGTCGCGGGGTGCTATGTGGAACAGGTTTAGTGTCTCGCTGACCGCCCGGCATTTTTAGGCTCTACCGTCCGTGTTCGTTACGGGCGGCTCATACTCTGACTTCTAACTTAGTGGACGATCTCATCTTCAATCGATCGCTCCTGAAGACAAGGTCCGAACTTACATCACTGAAAGCTCACGGACCTCGTGGACGTACTTGTGGATTCAATAAGGTATAGTACCCATACCTACTAGGTATATTACTCCGTCCTTTTCATCTCCATGCTCTATCATGCTTTAGTCAATCCTCCTGTTGCTCAGTTTCCCCCACATTCATATGCGCCATGTGAAACTCGAGTCACTATCCATTAACTAATGACCTCAATGTTCCCGTTTCCTTGCATATTGATCTTAGAGAATACTGACCGGCCCGATCAATATTCGTCCCAGTCACAGAGCGGGACTATGGGCTCGTTACCCGTTAATCCCTTTGCCGCCAGTCTTGCAGCTCGGCCATCAAGGTAACTCTGATAGGGTGCCTTGGGCATTCGTTTCTGGTTGTCCTCCCATACTTGATATTCGACAGCCTGCCAAACTTGGAGTTGGTCCATAAAGTTCTCTCGTGGTTTCACCTTTCGCCTTGCCCTAACTTCTGCGATAATGACGTCCAAACCCAGTTGTCGTTGCCGCATTAGATATGCTATTGCGACGGATGCTGATCGGGACATCCCAAAGCGACAATGGATCAATACATTCGACTCTCGCGCCGACTCATCGCTGTCGATGGTTGAAGCCGTGTCAAGGTCGAATTCTTCTGATGTGATAGAAGATGGCGAGCGTAGTGAGCCTTGACGATCTAGTTGTAGGTCGATAAAGTCGCAGATGTCGTCTAATAAGCACAGAATGTCCATCGTTGAAGTATCAAGGCAAGGCACAAATAAATGACACTCCTGGGGGACTATTTGCCTGTTTTTGGGACTATCCCATTTCGAATATGGGCCGTCCAAGAGGGAAACTATTGCTGTGATGTTGTGATGGCGAAGAACATTGCGGTTCATGGAACTCGCAACGTTCCCAACAAACAGATTAGGGGCAACCTGAGATATTGATGGGGAGTCCATATCATCTGTGATTGATGAAAGTCGGGTCTTTCGGTTCCATTGACTCTGTAAAGTGAAAGTTGATTGTACTCAAATCACTCAACGCCGGAGCCGGGAACGTACTGCATTGCACTTATGCAAACCCCTCACATGCAGAGACTACTTCAGTGGCAACTCACAGGATTTCAATGCCTGTTATGTTGTACAATAAGTACAATAAGTTCATGGTGGCACCGAAAATCCTTAGATTTCTAACTATACTACCGAGTCCAGCCTTGTATTATGCGTCGACTGACTGGAACTCGGTAGTAGATCGACTGCAGTCAGGATATGCAATTTCCGATCCAGAGGAGCCAAATGCCATTTACCATGTTGATTGGGCCAGGTCTTTCGCCTCAAAGATTTCTTCAAATACTATTATTGCTTTTGATCTGTGGTCCCTTACTATCGGTTAATACTAAACTCGCCGTCCTACACCCCGCCTGACGCTCAAGAGATATTATCTTTTTATTAGTTACCAAATATTTACAGTGTCTAGCCCTCAAGGATCTCTACTTTGTTTAGAACTACTCTCTTGTAACTTATTTCTACACTGCAGATAGAGATCATATGGCCAGCTCAAAGAGATCACAGCTTACAAACTCGTTGAGATAAATATATAACCACCCAGAATGAAAGCCAGCTGGAACTTATCGGACAGTTATTACATAACAACAAAGCGTCTTTGTTTCAAGCACGTTCTTCGTACTCCTCCTGGTGTAAGAGGATGCCCTCGGAGGGCAAGAAAACTCAGACCTGGATATAGGGTATCAAAACTAAACTCAGCAAAGGATATCCTAAACTTACCTAGTAAAAGTTACCCTGAGTTTATCCCAAGTTACCTAAGTCATTTTATCATTTAGGATGAAGGTCCTGAGTATTCTTTCTAGGATTCCAATGGGTGCACGTGATTCTTAGACACTAAAAAAATGGGGCTACTCTTATCAGTTAGCCAAGTGCGGGAGTTCAATCTTATCGCCAGAAAAAAAAGTTGCTGGACTGAATTGCGACTCTGCATCTACCCATCAAGTTCACGACAATGGCTACCAAAACCGCAGCTGTTGGCAACAAGCGAAAGTCCGCTCCTGGCGGCAAGGCCAAAACTGATTCCAAAGTTAAGAAGGCTCGACTTGATGAGGCCAAGGTCCGGAAGCAACCAGTCGAGGAGCCCGAGGATGATGATATGGACGACGTTTCAGACGAGGAGGATGGCGGCGCCGAACTGAGTGAACAGACTGCCCAGAAGGCTTCGAATGGTGCTCAAAATGGAAAGAACTTTGAGCGAGGTATGCAATTCGGCAGATACCGCTTTCGCGCCTGGTCAATGCTAACTGTTTTCCTAGGCCAAACTTCACGCGAATCCCATGCTAAACAAAAGCAGCTCGCCCAGGAGCGCAAGGCCGCTAAACCTCTTGCTGACGAAGTTCAACGCACAAAGAAGCTGTGGGAACGGCTGCGACGAAAGTCTCACGTTCCCAAGGAGGAGCGACAGACATTGGTCGACGAACTATTCACCATCATCACGGGTCGCATTAAGGATTTCGTCCTCAAGCACGATGCTGTGCGAGCTGTTCAAACCGCCATCAAATACGCCTCACCCGAGCAGAGGAAGCAGATCGCCCGTGAGCTAAAGGGTACATATGCTCAGCTTGCTGAGAGTCGATATGCCAAGTTCTTGATCGGAAAGCTTCTTGTCCAGAACGATGAGGAGATCCGCGATATCATCATTCCCGAATTTTACGGCCGTGTCCGAAAGATGATCAACCACGCCGAGGCATCATGGATTCTTGACGACATTTACCGAGGCGTTGCGACAAAGGAGCAAAAGGCCATTCTTCTCCGCGAGTGGTACGGTCCCGAGTTTTCTCTCAAGGAGCTCACCAAGGACACGGAGCCCACTGCCGACCTCAAGACTATCCTGGAAGCTGAGCCCAGCAAGCGCGGCCCCATTATGAAGAGTCTGGTTGACATGATCGGCTCTCTTGTCAACAAGAAGATGACCGGCTTCACTATGCTCCATGATGCCATGTTCCAGTACTTCTCCAACACCCAAGTCGGTACGGAAGAGTTTACCGAGTTCTTCGAGATGGTCAAGGGCGACGAAAGCGGAGATTTGTTGAAGAACATGGCTTTCACTCGTAATGGCGCCAAGCTCACATGTCTGCTTCTTGCCCATGGCTCCTCAAAGGACCGAAAGCAGATTCTCAAGACTTATAAGGACACATACCTCCTTATGTCCGGCGATATTTGGGCCCACCTTATCCTCCTTACAGCCTACGACGTCGTCGACGACACCAAACTCACTGCCAAGACCATCTTCCCCGAACTCATCGGCGAGGGCGAGAACATCGCCCAGAATGTTGTTGCAACAGCCAACAACCCCTTTGCTAGGTCAACAATTCTCTACCTTTTTGAGGGATTGGCCAAGAGTCTCTTCCCTTCTAGCCAATCATTTGATGTCGAGCTTCTCAAAGAGGTTCACGAGATCCGGCAGACAACAAGTAAGAAAGATGAGGACATTCGACGCAACGAACTCATTACTGCTGTTTCTCCCCAGCTCATCACCGCCATCGCAGAGGCACCCACTGAGCTGACCGCGACCGCTTTTGGGTGCCAGTTCATCACCGACGTTCTTCTCTCGGGAGTCGGTGAGAAGCAAGCTGCTCTTGAGGCCATTGCTCAGTCAGCCAGCGGTGACCCCAGCCAAGAGCCAGCCGAAGACGACCTTCAACCCCAGATCCACATTTCACGTACGCCTCACGGCGCTCGCATGCTCAAGTCGTTAATCCAAGGGGGCAAATATGACAAAGCAGCTGGCAAGATCATCCCTGTAGACCCTCCTCTGGAGTTCTCCAATACTCTCTATCCCGTCATTAAGGAACACATCATGGACTGGGCCACCGGCCCCGGCTCATTTGTTGTTGTGGGCCTCCTTGAGGCCCGTGACTTTAGTGAGGTTGATTCAATCAAGAAAACACTCAAGAAGAATAAGAAGATTCTTGAGAAAGCTGCGACAGAGGAGACAGCTGAGCAGAGGGCGGCACGTGAGGCTCAGGAAACTGCGCCCAAGGGAGCTAAGAAGGGTAAGAAGAAGGGCGATAAGCCTGTTGGTAATGCTGGTAGTAAGCTTTTGTTGGAGAAGCTGTAAAAACAGTTTGAGGATATTGGGCCACGGATAGAGATGAGGTGCTTTATTTATCATATATCAGGCGTATAAAACTAGGGTGTTTTTGACAATGATATCACGGACTATGATATGTTGCTTATCCATTGTCTGACTGCCCATTGCAGCCAAGTGATAGCACTGATTTTCATCGAATATTGCGAGCATGATGAAACGATGCATGAGGTACCAATACGAAGGAATTGCGACCCAGGCAATCATTGGCCGCCTTGGGTTGGTGCCGTACAACGATGTACACAACTAACGGTTACAGTAATGCGCCGCAAGGGTCACACACGGCAGTGACGGTTTTATTTGCCTGTGTGTCGATGAGGCTCCTACAGTACGGGCTCTTTGGGATGTACGGTTTGTAAGGAATAGACAGTGGTGTTCGTAGAGAAGTGGGAGAATGCCATGGGAAGTCATGTACATACTCGCATCCGGATGCTAACATACTGACGTACGTTCATCACTCGATTGTGGTTCGGAGGACGTCTGTGTGTTTTACAGAAGAATGCCTGGCCGTTGGATACAATGGCTTTCTAGAGGCGTTGCGTAACTCTGTGCTGCCATGGCAGTTAGAAGTGTTACAGTGATCCAACGTTTCATACTACCTTGCCGAGGTATGAAGCTCAATTGATGTCTTTGGATTTCTATGAGGCATTCAGATTTCAGGGGGGGACTGGCGTAAATGGCAAGCCAATCTTTTCACTAGCAGATGGGTTATAGGCACAGATCATTACCGTCGAACCATGATAAATCGAGCATGTTCATGTTAGCTTGACTTGAGTGCCTATCTTCGAACTTGTTTTACTCCCCGACTCCCACGAGGTGTGTTCGTGATCAAATAAACTGTGGCACGGGGAGGCACTTATTTGCTGCAAAAACAATCGTCACTCAGCTATAGGAGATACCTCAGCCATTTACTAGGTGCGCTGTGAGCATACCTTAGTACCTAAGGTTCCCAAGCGAGGTAGGTACTGCTTTGTAATCTGGCTTTTGATCGTGATCTTTAAGTGGCCGTGACGGAGGAAGTTTGGTCGACAGCTGTTAGCAGCTGGCAACTGACAAACTTCCTCTGCCTCCGCCTCCTTTCCTTCTCATTGTATCAGGCGTAACCCGCCAAAACCGCGCGCAACGTCACAAATGCAAGCGCTTCACTTCTCCCCGATTCTCTGCTTTCTTCTTTCACTCCTTGATCTCCGTTCGTTTGTGTGCTTTTCTATCAAGTCGGCCGTCATATCATCCGCCCTTTTAGGAGCAGAGTAACAGAATCTTGCGTAGGTACTTATCTTCTTCTCCCAAGATTCGATTCACGGAAACTGCGATACTATATCAAACGAATCTTCTTGGGGTGGCTACAAACGCAAACCAATATCATACTCAACAGGGAGCGAAACCCAGACAGACAAATATTCTTTTCTTCCTCTCAACTGCCCGTTTGCTTCTCTTGCTATACTGTGTTTGCCGATATGGACACAGACGTACATTCTCACCCTGGAAAAGATTGCCGCGCTGACAAGGCATACTACGAATGTAGTTACTTCGACTTTGAGTTCAAAGGCTGCTGCTCTCACGATCCATGCATAAGGCCTCGTGGCTGCCGCGA